AAAGCAACAGCACGAATGCAATTTGCAACACATGTAAATGTGCTTGCTGTGTTTTTTCCATATTTGTGACATGTCATACTACTGGTGTCTTGTCTGTTGGAGTTTATACTCCTTGCATGAGTTGACATATTCCTTGTTTGGACAATATAGCAGATCCTTTTGTTCTATACTCACAATTACTGCCAGCATTGACATTCATTACAAATGTCTCTGAAGTAGATGAATATGCGGCTCGTGTGTTGATTATACAATGAATTTTACTCATACGAAAACCAATGGCATTGCATTTTATTGGAAGTTGTATTAAAACATCATTCCAGGTATTTCATATTCCATGAAGAGAGTTTGCTTACTTTTGCTGCAAGTAATGACTTAATTAACGATAGCTTGCATTTCTTCCCAAGTGCTAACATCCATCGACAAGAACCAAAATGCACTTTTGCAAACTTACCAATCTCTTTGCAATCGCATTGTATAGCCTGATATGCACTTGTTGTGCATCCGCTGGATTCAGTGTGTGCCCAATGGCAATGAAATTCTGATTACGTGAAGCGAACATTTATTGGTGAAAGCTATTTACTCTCATATCAATAATGCAGCAATAAGTGTCAACAATGTCAGCAAACATTTGTTCCATTATTAAAAACTAGCATTTCATGTGTTCGGTATTTGTTGTTTTTGTTGTACTATATGGATAAAGCAAAACGTTTCTTCTTTGGAAATATCATTAAAGCACTTAAGAATATACAAAATTTGATGCAATGGACAAATAAAATATCTGTACATAAAATACCATAATAGGTATTTTTTTTGCAATCAGCGTAGGTATTGCTGCAAATAATATAAATTATGTGTTTGTCAATATTTTTAACTACAACCATCGAACTATGTACATTCAGATAGGATGAAATGCATTACATAGCATTCTTTTTACAAAAAGTAAGGAAATATACAAAACAAAACTTCAGTTCGAAACATATTCCTAAAGATACATTCTCTACTTTAGTATTAGGAATTGCAACATTTAAAAGAGTTGTATTTCTTACAACTTACTGGTCATTTTACTCTTTAAAAGATCAGTTCAATTGTATGTACATAACAATATATTACATCTTTTGAAAACACAGTATAGACTATTTTTCTAATAATGACTATGTTGATTATCCAAACGATATTTATAATAGTCTCAAAACCCACATTTCTAGCTATAATCGGATTTTATCTTTGGATAATTGAGACATCCAGATAAGAGTGATACAAATTTATATATTTAGCCCACTAATCTCCGCGCTGCATTCATCCATCTACTAGCTTTGATTTTATGCTAGACGAATGAAGAATTTTATTATTTTATTTCACATCATTGTGCCTACCCCTGTGGTTGTTACAAATTCAACTTCAAGTCAACAAAATTCTATAACTTTCGACCAAAAGTTATTTCTTTTTGAAATAAATTTGCTTTTTTTTCTAATTAATGATTTAATAGAGACCGTTATGTAAACTCCGAGTGAACTCTTTGTTATTATGGTATTGTTTTTTGCTAGCTGAAATATTATGGAATGCGGATATAAGTTACTATATGTTTCTTTTGTCTTTTCTCTTATTTTTTGTATTGATGTTTTGTTAGTTTCAAATAATATATTTTTGAGAAAGTCATCCAAAAGTACTTTCATATCTCTCTTTACAATTTCTCTTCATACTTTATACTTAGAAATTATAAGATAAAAATTAAAAATATTTTAGATATTTTAACAAAATAAAACACATTCTACTACATCACTTAACGCTTTTAACTACATCATGTGTTTTATTTCACCACCAAATCCTATTATCTGATGATTCTAAGCGCGCTGGAATACTAAAATATTATTCTTTTGTTTCAAAATAAGCTTACATTGCTTCTTAGTTTTTATTTAAAATCTACATTTAAAACAACAAATCACAAAAACATTGTCTTATAAAGAATTTACAATTGAAAAGATGTGTCAATCTTGTAACAACAACACAATCACATATTCACACTCCACACTCTGCATTCCACATCCCAAACGCTAAACATAGTGTTCACTACGAACACACGTACACATATATACACGCAATGCAGCAGCCAAGAAAGCAATTGCAAAAAACAAGAAATGTTACACTTACATTTCAATACTCACTTACAGATAAATTCATAGAAAAACTACAGTAAAGTGGAATTTTGTAAATCTGTGAGCACACATGCACGCACTGCACCACAAACACACTTGCAAGTACGTACATTTTAGCTCACATAAATTCATTTCGAGCAGCACAAAAATTTAAACGGACCTAAGCGTATGAGTAATATAAATTTTCTTGTGAATTTAAGCTTTATTGTGTTTATGTGGGAAGCTCTGTACTTCTGCTTGAAATGTCAATGCATTCGAGACTCTGGCGTGGCTTCTTCTGTAGGAGCTGTTGCCTTTACTCACCAAAATTTTTGTTATCAGGCCTCAGCTCGTGTTTGTAGATACGAGTGTGCATTTTATATCCGTTCGTACTTTCTTTTCGATTTGGAAGTGTACATAAATTTTTATTTTTACTTATCCTTGTAAGTAAAGATGCAATTTCTGTTAAATCAGCAACTAAAAATCTTTTACATCGTTCAATTACTCGAAACTGAGAATAACGAAGTTACAAGTTACAAGTTACAAGTCACAAGTCATAGAAACTGTTGTCGTTTATGCGATAAAAGGGCTAAATTAAATTCATTTAAAAAATGAACTTATGTAACTATTTTAGTTACATTTACTGTATTCGCCTCAACTTCTTTCGACTTATCCAAACTTGATTGTGTCAGTAAAAAAACGCCTTATCTCAATAAAAACATCAATTTTACAATTGCAGCGAACTCAAAGTTCGAGCATAAATAATACATTTCAATAAATTTTGCATACGACCGCAATTAATTTATTTTAATTTATTTGCAACAAAATGCGTATCAGAATTAATTTTCACAAATTTCAACAATAAACGAAATAACGATAAAAGTAAATTAAAAGCAGAGGTAGACGCATTGTCACTGTTGTAACATGAAACGTGGTTCCAGCACCCTAGCTCCTTTGGGTGACGCACGTGTTCGGTTATTTTTGCAGTTTATTATGCAAACGAGAGTAAATAAGTGATAAAAAACTATCGCATTGACTTCAAACATAATACCACCTTGAGCACGGTCAACAACAGTCTGCTGTGGGCGTTGTGACCAGCGCACGCGGTCAAAACCAGAATCCAAGAGGTGTTCACAAAAGTGAACGTGCAACGTGAACTGCTTACTGGGTCAATTATTTAATGTAACTTTATTGAACGTCAGTGTCCTGCCTAATTTATGATGCCTATATATACATTAAACTTCGACACAACGAGCAACGTTGGCGACTCCTAAAATGCAAATAAAACTGCTTAAATTGGTTTCACCCTCAAATATAGAGTCGTCGAATACGACAAACGATATGACAGTTTAGTGGCAATAACGTGGCAGTTTGGCATCGAGCGATAATGACTTATTGCTCATAAATCCAATTTGCAACACAATATTTATGACCTTCTACTCAATATAACCAAACCATGCTAACTGGCATTATGTACCCAACGGAACAACACATAAGTGAAAAGCACTTAGCGCACAGGTTCTCAGAAATCAGCTGTAGCAGCCATACCCTTACTGTTCCAGGATCTGTAACCACATAATTCATAAATTTCCAATTTCAAATGTTTTGTTTTTACAACTGTTTAGACAGTTTTTCATCCACTCCCCATCCCATTCATCTAACAAATCGTACCACTGTGGCACACTGCTCAGCCTGCCACGGACATTTTAATGCCCTGACACAGACATTTATGCAGTGGCACTTCCAATAATTGGCAGCTATCAGCCATAATATCCTGTGTTTGCTTTGCTTTGGTATCCTCCCACTGCGCTGCTGCTCATCAAACATGACAAAAAGAAAACATTGCAAACATAATTCGACCGCGTTCTCTTAAGAATACTTCATGCATCTAATACAGACATAAATTACAGAAAACACAACTCACAGCGATAATCGGGAGGTCTCTGTGTATGCTGACCTATGCTGCGTTTTGCGAATTTATGAAATTTAATTGTTTGTTAAGCACGGCATTGAATTCTATCATAATTAAATTGTAACGTAACTGTAATCTTTTAGTTGGGAATTGCAAATTTTATTAAATATTTTACGAACACTATGTTTCACAATCATGTTATTCCAATTAGTTTGCACTCAATGCTCCATTAAAAGCATTGAGTGTTTGCATGTGATATTATCATTGAGCAATATTATAGACAACAGTATATCTTGAAATAAATTTTATGTACAATAACTCCCAATTACTACAATTATATTTATATGGATGTTGATTCAAGTTTTTCATATTTTTTTCAGAAATACACCTTAAATTCACTTTTTGCATATTATTTTTAAAAATCTCCTAATTTTAATGAAAAAAAAAATATATTCTTATATGTATATTAGTTCAAATTTTATAAGTAAAGTAGTTCACAATTGCTTTCCAGGTCAAATCGTCAATACTCCACAAAAGCTCATCAGAAAGAAAAATTACAAAAATTTAATTTAATTCTTTATTGATTTGTACATTTAATGGCCAATGAGGAAATTGACTGTGGCACGAGCGACTGGTACAGCATATTTTCTTACTTGTATATTTTTATTTGCATTCACTTTGCAACCACAAACGGCAGTGCACTGAAAGCAGCAATTGTTGCCATTGCAGGGTTGCCACAATTGCTATTGCTACTTGCAATTATGCAAATGAATCTGTTAACACACACAAAAGCATTCAACACACTTAAACCATTCAACCATTTTGACTTATTTCATCAACATTCGAAAACATTAATTATAATCGCCACAAATTTGACTGTATAGTGATGCACACATGGATGTGCCATTCCACAGAACTACATTTTTTTATTAAATAATTTTCTTTCCTTCTTACAGGAAGACATGGTCTGTCTATCGTGCACAGCGACAGGAGAGCGTGTTTGCCTTGCAGCTGAAGGATTTGGTAACCGACATTGTTTCCTTGAAAATATAGCAGACAAGAACGTGCCACCGGACTTATCACAATGCGTATTCGTTATTGAACAGGCTTTGTCAGTGCGGGCGTTGCAAGAATTGGTAACGGCTGCAGGATCAGAGACGGTGGGTGAATATTGAAAATGTTTATAGACAATACACAGTACTTACTTAGTATACACATAAATCAGTTCATAAGTCCATAAACCATTATGTTATTGGCATTCAAAGATTACACAAATGCAACGTATATCGAAATAATACATAGAATTAGTTCTCGGCGAACAGAAGTGTTGGAACATCACGTATTCTCGTTTCTTTCGCCTACTAATTTGTTTACTTTGAATTTTTTGTATTATTACATTAAAATATTTTAAAAAATTAATAAACTGTGTTTGCTCTTCATATGTTAACTAACAATTATTAAAAATAATATCCAATAATATTCCTTGATTATTTTCTTCTTTTATTTTATGTTATGTACCTTGTTCCACTTGTACTCCCCATATCTGGCGCTTTACATAAATATACACATATAAAATAAAAATTTTATATCATCTGTCCTGGTAAAAAAAAATTGACACTCAATGTAATAAACACAAAACCAAGTATTAATATATTAATAATAAAAACTATTCAAAAATTGTATGTATTCTATCTCATTAATTTTATTACAAACTACTATCTCTTCGCACAACAATTAACAATAACTTTCTCTTTTTACAATATTCGCTCGCAAAACTCCATTTATTCGCAAAAGGATCCAAAATTTGTAAGTATACAGAAAGGTTAAGGGAGAATAGCACTGCAACTTAATTATTTGTACCTGAACCGCTTATCGCTTATGTTTATGTATACGTCTTAATATTTTTAATAATTATTTTAAAAATTAATGTCATTGTCGCTGTGTAATTCTTATAACTTTCTGTATATTTTTCTCTTTCTAACTTTTGTAGCTTTTCGCTAATTTAAGAAATTTATTTGCTAAAACGATGGTTTTGAGTTAAGATGACTACTCGTTTGTCACATAAAGCAATGTCACTAAAACTTTACAGTTTGGTAGTAACTGCATAATCCAATATCAAAACAGTGAGTCTGTGCATATGAAAAACAGAGACAAATAATGTGCTTATCAACATCTTACTCTGCCGACCAATTACACAAACCATAACACAATTTTTGACTTACAATGCAAAATTAAAAAAAAAAAAACATTCAAAACATCGATCCTAAACACTTTTATTTTTACTTTTACTTCTCTACTCTAATATACATACATCTTATCTTATGTCTCATGTATTGTACTTTACAAAGCTCACTGTTATGCTTCGGTAGTGTAGCGTTGATAATTTGACTGAATATATTATCTTTTATGCCATACTTCTTTTATTTTAATTTTCAATTATTCAGGGTAAAGGCACTGGTTCTGGTCATAGAACCTTGCTGTACGGCAATGCCATACTTCTACGTCATCATAACAGTGATATGGTAGGTAACACCATATGTGCTCATAACTTTTTTGAGGTTTTACTTATAAATTTTCCTCTAGTACTTGGCTTGCCTGTCTACATCGTCATCAAATGACAAACTATCCTTCGATGTTGGCTTACAAGAGCATAGTCAAGGCGAAGCATGTTGGTGGACAGTTCACCCAGCAAGCAAACAACGCTCAGAGGGTGAGAAAGTACGTGTGGGTGATGATTTAATTCTGGTATCTGTTGCAACCGAACGTTATTTGGTATGTTGATATTTTAAGCTACCCAACATAAATAGCTGTACATATAGCATATGTGAGGTTTCTCCTAATTCCTTTAATATTTCACAGCACACAACCAAGGAGAACGAACAGTCGATTGTGAATGCCAGCTTCCATGTAACACATTGGTCAGTGCAACCCTACGGTACTGGCATTTCACGCATGAAATATGTTGGTTATGTTTTTGGTGGGGACGTGTTACGTTTCTTTCACGGTGGTGATGAGTGTTTAACAATACCAAGCACATGGGGACGAGAGGCTGGCCAAAAGTAAAATTTCTGCGGATTGTTTGAATATAGAAACAATGCGTTAAAAAAGTTTTGTTTTTTTAGTATTGTTGTGTATGAAGGCGGATCTGTAATGTCACAGGCACGTTCCCTATGGCGTCTGGAACTAGCCAGAACCAAATGGACTGGAGGTTTCATTAACTGGTATCATCCTATGCGTATTCGACATATTACAACAGGACGTTACTTGGGCGTTAACGAAAACAACGAATTGATTTTGGTATTAAAAAGAACTTTAGTTTGACTTAAAAGCAATGTGCAAAGAATTTTTTATGAATAAGGACAGCTCTTAGAAAGAATGTTTTTATTTCAGTTAGTATTGATAATCATTTGTATAAGACAGACAAGAGTATGTTTTAAATGATGAAGACGATTCTATTTTTTAAAGTCACATAACTAATTTCCTTAATGGAATGTGTCGAATCATTATTCCTTGAAACAATTATTTACTCACTTTCATATTGAACATTAATTTAAATAATATAACAAAAAAGTATTTCTGAAAATGCACAGGTTAAAAAGGAAGAAGCTTCAATAGCATCAACGACTTTCTGCTTACGGCAGGAAAAGGACGACGAGAAAAAAGTGCTGGAAGACAAAGACTTGGAAGTGATTGGTTCACCTATTATTAAATATGGTGATACCACTGTCATAGTGCAGCACTGTGAATCTTGTTTATGGCTCAGTTATAAAAGTTACGAAACTAAAAAGAAGGGCGTCGGAAAAGTTGAAGAGAAACAAGCTATACTACATGAAGAAGGTAAAATGGATGATTGCTTAGATTTCTCCCGCTCACAAGAAGAGGAGTCAAAAACTGCGCGTGTAATACGCAAGTGCAGCAGTCTATTTACGCAATTTATAAAGTAAGTACCAAATCTCTCAATGCTCTTGACATCAGAAGTCAAACAACAGGAATTAAAATTTTCTCATATTTCAGTGCTTTAGAAACATTGCAAGGTAATCGTCGACATTCAATATTTTTTCAGAAAGTGAATCTTAACGAAATGGTTATGTGCCTGGAAGACTTAATTAATTATTTTTCACAACCAGAAGATGATATGGGTAAGTTTAAAGGGTATGCATTCTCTAGAAAAAAAAGTGTTTATCTATTTCTTCCTATTTGCAGAACATGAAGAAAAACAGAATCGGTTTCGCGCTTTGCGCAACCGACAAGACCTCTTTCAAGAGGAGGGCGTTCTTAACTTAATTCTAGAAGCAATTGATAAAATTAATGTTATAACTTCACAGGGTTTCTTGGCCAGCTTTCTAGCTGGCGATGAAACAGGTCAAAGTTGGGACTTAATCTCTACGTATTTGTATCAACTTTTGGCCGCTATTATTAAAGGAAACCATACAAATTGCGCACAATTCGCCAACAGTAATCGTTTGAATTGGTTGTTTTCACGCTTAGGTTCACAAGCTTCTAGTGAAGGTTCGGGAATGTTGGATGTTCTTCATTGCGTGTTGATCGATTCTCCAGAAGCTTTAAATATGATGCGCGACGAACACATCAAAGTCATAATCTCACTGCTTGAAAAACATGGTCGAGATCCTAAAGTCTTAGATGTGTTATGCTCTCTTTGTGTAGGTAATGGTGTTGCAGTACGTTCATCCCAAAACAATATATGTGATTTTTTACTGCCCGGTAGGAATTTGTTATTGCAAACTCAATTAGTAGATCATGTAGCCAGGTAAATGAAAATCAAATTCATCAAATAAGACCTCTTATATTCTTTTTAATTAGTATACGTCCTAATATATTCGTTGGCCGTGTAGAAGGTTCTGCTATGTATCAAAAATGGTACTTTGAAGTTACAATGGATCATATTGAACAAACCACACATATGATGCCACATCTGCGTATTGGTTGGGCAAATACCTCTGGGTAAATTGCGTTCGTGTTTTCATATTTTAAATTATGTTCAACTAAGCAGATTTCATTACTAGTTATGTTCCGTATCCTGGTGGTGGAAAAAAGTGGGGGGGTAATGGAGTTGGAGATGATCTTTATTCATTTGGTTTCGATGGTGCTTGTCTTTGGACAGGAGGACGTAGAACTTTAGTTGTGGATAATGTACCTGAAGAACCCTTTATAAGAAAAGGAGACGTAATTGGAGTAGCAATTGATTTATCCATACCTATTATTACATTTACATTTAATGGCATAAAAATCCGCGGATCTTTCAGAGATTTCAACTTAGATGGCATGTTTTTTCCAGTTATGAGCTGTTCATCAAAATTGAGGTTATTTTAATATAGAAAAAAATATATGAACTTTTTAATAATTCTTGTTGCTATCGTTATAATAGTTGCCGCTTTCTCTTTGGAGGTGATCATGGACGTCTTAAATTTGCTCCTCCACTTGGTTTTTCTCCATTAGTGCAATGCCTAATGCCACATCAAATTCTTAGTTTAGATCCGTGTTTTTATTTTGGTAATTTAAACAAAAATGTATTGGCTGGTCCATGGTTGATTGAGGATGATACAGCCTTTGTACCAAATCCAGTTGACACATCTGGGGTATCTCTGCCGTCTTCAGTTGATCAAATAAAAGAAAAACTTGCCGAAAATATACATGAAATGTGGGCATTAAACAAAATTGAGGCAGGCTGGAGTTGGGGCGAACATAGAGATGACTATCATCGTATACATCCTTGTTTGACACAATTCGAGAAACTACCACCAGCTGAGAAACGCTACGATAACCAATTAGCTGTACAAACACTAAAGTAGAACATTTGAATTTATATAAAACAAATATTAATTTTTTTCCCTTCGTTGCAGAACTATTGTTTCTTTAGGCTATTACATCACCATGGATAAACCACCAGCTCGTATACGTCCAGTTCGTTTACCAAATGAAATTTTTATGCAAGCAAATGGATACAAGCCAGCACCCTTAGATCTTAGTGCTGTAACTCTAACACCAAAACTTGAGGAACTTGTTGATCAGCTAGCTGAAAATACTCATAATCTTTGGGCCAGGGAACGCATACAACAGGGCTGGACTTATGGTCTCAATGAGGACTCCGACAACCATCGGAGTCCACATTTGGTGCCATACTCAAAGGTTGACGAAGCAATTAAAAAGGCCAATAGAGATACAGCTTCCGAAACTGTACGTACCTTACTAGTATACGGGTATGTGCTAGATCCTCCAACAGGAGAAGGCAATGAGGCATTACTTGCTGAAGCCTTGCGGTTAAAGTTTGCGGCTTTTCGTACTTATCGTGTTGAGCGTAATTATGCTGTCACATCCGGAAAGTGGTATTTTGAGTTCGAAGTGCTAACATCAGGACCAATGAGAGTAGGCTGGGCTCGTGCCGACTGCCACCCTGGTGCAATGTTAGGAAGCGAAGATACCAGCTGGGCTTTTGATGGTCACAATGTAAGTGAATTAAATTTTGAATAAATTTAAATTTAATAAATAATAATTTTGAAAATTATGAATAATGTGAATAATGGGAATAATAAACCTTAAAATAAATGGTTAAAGAATAACAATTCTTTTCCATACAAATTTTTAAAGAATTAATTAAATTCGTTATTGAAAAAAACCATAGGTCACAAAAATGCATGCGGGCTCAATAGAACACTTTGGTGTTCGCTACGAGGCGGGCGATGTAATCGGTTGTTTCATAGATGCCAAGGAACAAACCATCAGTAAGGATTAAGAAATTGCCAGCATTCAGTATAGAGTTTAACTGCAGTTTATACACTTTTTTTTTTAATTTTTTTAATTAATTTTAATTTATTCTTCATTTTTAACATCTAACAATTTCGTCTTATCATAGTTTCACTAATTTATCGTACTTAACGTGTTTAATTTTTGGAAATTGATTTTATCTAATTAATAAAGCAATTAGGGGGCAAATTCAAGATTCAACTAAATATATAATCTAAGTTTAATCTATTTCTAAATTATTTTCTTAATTTATATATCAATCATAATCATTTTATCTTCAATTAACAACGATATCTTTAGGAAGAAAAGATTTACGGTGGCACAAGTGAGCCTTTTGGCAAACAATGCGGACCAGGGGATATTGTTGGTGTTTTCTTAGATCTCACCGATCACACAATCAGTAAGAATACTTTAATTGTTGTGAACAAAAACATATGCTTTCAATAGTTGCTAAATCTACAAGTACAAAAACCAGCCGATCCTAACCAATCCAACAACCAACGATCCAATTTGTTCGTATCCCATGTAACAGTATTTTTCGTATTATACATGTTGTATGCAGCTAGCATAGGTGCACTAGAAGTCCTTTTGTAAATTGAATCCTTGAATTTGGAACACGAAAAAATCACAGCTAAAAACGCCTCAATTTGTTGTGAATTAAAATGGAAACTGCACATAATTAATATTTTAATTCAAATTGTACCTCTTTGCTCTGCTTCTCAAACATAATATCTATCCTTCTTATCGCATTTTTGTTGATTTTGTTACATTTTCTTTTCATACTCCACATATATAAGACTAACAAGTTTGACTATAGAGTTAAAAACTGTTACACAGAACTAAGTTCTTGTGTGAGCATGAAATATAACAAACCGTGTTATGCAATTAAAGATGCACGATTCATAAATGAACTGACATCACATATAATAATTATGCATGGTCCAGACATACTAGTAGAGGACCCTAATATACACTTGGCATGTATTTAATCTGTTTTGGCTGCAATATAACTGCTTGCTTATTAGCTTGTGGCTGTAATCGCCACTGGCGTTGAATGCATTTCTAATAACGAATCAACTATATTCTAAGACCTTTTACTTTCCATGTTTAGGTTTCTCATTGAACGGCGAACTGTTGATGGATGCCCTAGGCGGAGAAACTACATTTGCTGATGTCACAGCAGAAGGTGTGGGCTTTGTTCCGGCTTGTACACTTGGCGTTGGTCAGAAAGCTCGCCTCATTTATGGTCAAGATGTAGATTCACTCAAATTCTTTACTACTTGTGGTCTACAAGAGGGTTACGAACCATTTTGTGTGTATGTTCTATGTAGCTTACGTATAATTATGTTTATATAAATATACAAAAATATTTGAAATCCTTACAGTAATATGCGCCGGCCAGTCACGCATTGGTACACAAAAGATCAACCCATTTTCGAGAACACAGAGGATATGCCAGATTGTCGCATCGATGTAACACGTATTCCTGGCGGTGCTGATACACCACCGCATTTGAAAATTTCCCACAATACCTTCGAAACGATGGAGAAGGCTAATTGGGAATTTTTAAGGCTTTCTCTGCCAGTAACTTGCATGAGTCAGTTTATAAATGAAGCCGAGAAAGCTCATCGATGGGAGCAAATCAAAGCGAGGCAATATCAGCTTATCCGCGAAGCTCAAGAAGTGGCTCAGCAACAGCAGCAATCTACTGTACAAATGGACCATATGTTGAAAAGCGGCTTCACAATGAATGACATTAAAGGACTACATCGCAATTTTGATGATACCACTGAAGCAGATGAGAATATAATGCGTGGGCCTCTACGACCAGCTCGCAAAGGTTCAATCTCTCGTAATATAACTTTTGAAAATGATTTGACCATGCCTGAAGAAATGCGACGCTCAACATCAGCAATCGATATGAATGGTCTGGAAGACGGCATGGATGATAAAAAGAAACGCGGCCGCAGTCCATTCAAATTCTTCTCCAAAAAGTCTCGTGATCAAAGTAAAGACAAGATGACGGGTCGCACTAATGAAGTTTCATTAGAACGTAGAAACACTGTGGCTCATGGCCGTAATGTAGTGAACGCTCAAATGGCGACAAAAACACCCACACTGCGCTTGAACAATGTAAGAGCTAAAAACTGCAAATATATGTTATTAAACTGAAAACGATCACTTACTAATTTTTTTAATTGCAGACTGAAATGCCTCAAACACCAGTCGCTGGTCCAAAAGCTCTAAGTGGGGGTACCTTAGGTCAGTCACCAGTAGAAGGTTCTGGCACTGAAATATTCGATTCAGAATGCTTAAAACTCATTAACGAGTATTTTTATGGTATTCGCATATTTCCTGGTCAAGATCCCACTCATGTCTATGTTGGTTGGGTAACAACTCAATACCACTTACATAGCAAGGAGTTCAATAAATCGAAAGTACGTCGGGGTACGGTAATTATTGAAGATGACTATGAAATTCCCATTGAACGGATTGACCGACAAAGCTGTTATGTCGTACGTACTGATGAACTTTTTAATGAAGTTACACAAGATGCCGCTGGCAAGGGAGCATCCCAAGGCATGTTCATTGGCTGTTTTGTTGACACTGCAACTGGTATAATCCGATTCACTTGTGAGGGTAAAGAAACTTCACACCGTTGGATGATGGAGCCAGATACCAAGTTGTTTCCTGCTATTTTTGTTGAAGCGACCAGCAAAGAAATTTTACAAATAGAATTAGGCCGCACGCCAACTACTCTGCCACTTTCAGCTGCTGTACTTCCTACTAGTGACAAACATATCAACCCACAATCGCCACCTCGTTTGAAGGTTCAATGTTTACGCCCACACCAATGGGCACGAGTACCTAACACTGCTCTTCAAGTGCACGCACTAAAATTATCAGACATACGTGGCTGGTCAATGCTTTGCGAAGATCCTGTTTCAATGCTTGCCTTACATATTCCAGAAGAAGATCGCTGCATTGATATATTAGAGCTAATTGAAATGGAAAAATTATTATCTTTCCATTCTCATACTCTTACTCTTTATGCTGCTTTATGCTATCAATCCAATTATAGAGCCGCTCATGCTCTTTGCCAACATGTAGACCAGAAACAATTACTTTACGCTATAAGATCGGAATATATGAGTGGGCCACTACGTCAAGGCTTTTACGACCTCTTGATAGCCTTACACTTAGAATCACATGCTACAACTATGGAAGCTTGCAAAAATGAGTACATAACTCCACTGGGACCAGAGCTGAAAGAACTTTATGGCGACGATGAAATGTGTCACTCTTTGCGATCACTTATCACTGAATCTGTAAGACCACAACTGTGTATGACAGAAATAACGTAAGTAACTCAATATACTTTACTTTGTACAACATTAAGTACAGTTATATCCTGGCATTGAGAATATATTTATATGAAAGCGTTTAATTAGCACTATCCAATTCATTAAAAGCAATTATAATACTTAGTCCAGGACATAATTACACTTTCTCTTGCACAACATTTTACTCAAACAACTCTTACCTTTCTATCATCTACAAACAAAATCTCTTTTCTTATTTTTCACTTTCGATCGTGCACGATATTTATTCTTTACTGTTTATATATATCACTATATATCCCGCACGTGCTTTAAATACATCTCACCATATTCCTGTTGCTAATCCACGCAGACCCCCAGTGATATCCCAAACATCTAGTATGCCAAGTGTTTCTAGTGAGCCGATTCCCAATATCGACCAACTCTACTCCCCCAAATTCCCCTTAGAAGTAGTCAGGGAGTTCGTTATGGAGGCATTGAAGGAAGCTGTTGAAGTAAATCAAGTTCATAATAGAGATCCCATTGGCTGGACGAACGAGAACTTATTTTTGTAAGTATAACAAAAGTAATCTTATTTCACATTCTCGTTAATTTGAAAATAATTGCTTAAGACCGTTAATAAAACTTACGGATCGCTTGCTACTAGTTGGTGTCCTTACTGATCAAGATGTACAAAAATTACTCGTAATGGTGGATCCAGAAACTTGGGATCTAACATTTCAAAAAGGTACATATTTCAATTGAGAAGAAATGATAAGCACTAAACTAAAAATAATTTTAGATGGAAAAGACGAACATCGAAAAGGCTTGCTAACTATGAAAATGGCTGAAGGTGCAAAGCTTCAAATGTGTTACTTGTTACATCATTTATACGATATACAACTACGTCATAGAGTTGAAAGTATAATAGCTTTTTCACATGACTTTGTTGGTGATTTACAAACAGATCAACTTCGTCGTTACATTGAAATCAAGCAATCTGATCTTCCAAGTGCTGTGGCGGCTAAAAAGACAAAAGAGTTTCGCTGCCCCCCAAGAGAGCAAATGAACCAAATACTTTGTTTCAAAAATCTTGAACCAGACGATCAAGAAAATTGTACATGCGGCATTGATTTACGAGGCCGGTTGTATGATTTTCATGACAGCCTTATGAAAAAGGTATCATTGAATGCTTTGCAGGAGCCTGATGAGCCAGAAGGCAATGCAATTGAGGAAGTCAAAGCGGGACCAATAACTAAAATTTATAACTTTATTAATGCAGTCAAAGAACTCGAAGAGGGACCTAAGGAAATTGAAGAACCTGAAAAGAAAACGCCAGAGGAAGTATTCCGCAAAGTGCTTATCAAAACGATTGTCAGTTGGGCTGAAGAGTCACAGATTGAGAACCCAAAACTGGTGCGTGAAATGTTTAGTCTTCTTGTACGCCAATATGACACCGTAGGTGAATTGGTTCGAGCATTGGAAAAGACATACGTAATCAATAATAAAGCACGTGATGATGTGGCGGAAATGTGGGTTGGTTTAAGCCAAATCCGAGCTTTGCTTCCTGTGCAAATGAGCCAAGAAGAAGAAGAGCTCATGCGAAAAAGGCTTTGGAAATTAGTGAACAACGCTACTTTCTTCCAGCATCCAGATTTGATACGAATATTACGAGTTCATGAGAACGTAATGGCAGTTATGATGAACACCTTAGGAAGGCGAGCACAAGCACAAAGTGACGCACCAACGCAGCCTGAAGGTATTGAAGGAACACCACCCAAAGAGAAGGATACATCTCATGAAATGGTTGTTGCTTGTTGTCGTTTCCTTTGCTATTTTTGCAGAACTGGCCGCCAAAATCAAAAGGCAATGTTTGATCACTTCGATTTCTTGCTAGACAATGCTAACATATTATTAGCAAGACCAAGCTTACGCGGTTCTACTCCATTAGACGTGGCATATTCAAGCTTAATGGAGAACACAGAACTAGCTCTGGCACTTAGAGAACATTATCTGGAAAAGATTGCAGTATACTTGTCACGTTGTGGCTTACAAAGTAATTCAGAACTGGTAGAGAAAGGATATCCTGATTTAGGGTGGGATCCTGTAGAAGGCGAACGTTATTTAGATTTCTTACGCTACTGCGTATGGGTTAATGGCGAGAGTGTAGAAGAAAACGCTAACCTTGTCATTCGTCTTCTTATCCGTCGTCCAGAATGTTTAGGGCCGGCTCTAAGAGGAGAAGGAGAAGGTCTGTTTCGAGCAATAGTCGAAGCTAATCGTATGTCCGAACGCATTTCAGATCGATGCAAAATGCAAGACGAAGCAGAAGGAACAATCGCAGGTCTTAACTTTACACATCCTTTGCCAGAAAGTGATGAAGATGAGGATTATATTGACACTGGTGCTGCTATTTTGAACTTCTATTGCACGCTCGTTGATTTGTTAGGTAGATGTGCGCCAGATATATCTGTTATTGAACAAGGCAAAAACGAATCCCTAAGAGCTAGAGCTATTTTGAGATCTCTTGTGCCACTAGAAGACTTACAAGGTGTTTTAAGCCTAAAATTCACATTAACGCAAACCGCACCAGGCGAAGAAAAACCAAAATCAGATATGCCATCAGGGCTACTGCCAAATAACAAACAAAGTATTGTACTCTTTTTGGAAAGGGTATATGGTATTGAAACACAAGATCTCTTCTACCGTTTATTAGAAGATGCATTTTTACCTGATTTACGCACAGCTACTATACTCGATAAGAGCGACGGCTCTGAAAGTGATATGGCCCTTTCGATGAACCGATATATTGGCAATTCAATTCTGCCACTACTCATAAAGCACTCAAAGTTTTATAATGAGGCAGAAAATTATGCCAGCTTATTGGATGCTACATTGCACACGGTCTATAGATTATCTAAGAACCGTATGCTCACAAAGGGCCAAAGAGAAGCAGTGTCAGACTTTCTAGTAGCACTAACGTCCCAAATGCAACCTGCCATGTTGTTAAAACTTTTGCGCAAGTTGACAGTGGATGTTTCTAAGCTATCCGAATATACAACAGTGGCTTTAAGGGTTTGTAATTATATTAATTTTATTTATATTAGAATTACTCTGAGTTATTTTGTTTTACATTTAGCTTTTAACACTTCATTTTGATCGCTGTGCTAAGTATTATGGTTCAACACAAGGTCAGGGTTCTTATGGCGCATCGTCAGACGAGGAAAAGCGTCTAACTATGCTTTTATTCTCCAATATTTTTGATTCACTTAGTAACATGGATTACGATCCTGAATTATTTGGAAAGGCACTACCGTGCCTAATTGCAATTGGGTGTGCTTTGCCACCTGATTACAGCTTATCTAAGAACACTGACGAAGATTACTATGGACGGCAATCAGGTGCCCCAGACCAACCACAATACGATCCAAATCCAATTGATACGATAAATGTTCATCTCGACAACGACTTAAACTCACTAGTTCAAAAGTTCAGTGAGCACTACCATGATGCATGGGCCAGCCGTCGATTGGAAAGCAGTTGGACCTATGGCGAAATTCGGTCCGATAACGATCGCAAACACCCCAGACTGAAACCATACAATATGCTTAGTGAATACGTAGGTGAAAAACACAAATTCTGTGCTTTAAAATGTTGATTTTGCAAAAATTTTTATATTAAATTATTGTAATTATTAATTCAATTTAGAGAAAATATGTATGTTTGTAAAATAACCTACGCTTAAAATTATTATTCTTGGTTTCTGTTCCAAGAATTTCTAATTTAGAGAATATGATGATTATATATTTTGACTTTACTTCCGATATAGGAACGAGAGCGTTACAGGGACCCGGTGCGTGAATGCTTGAAAGCACTTTTAGCAATCGGTTGGACAATAGAACATTCCGAAATCGACGTACCGCTTAATCACCGTGGATCCACAAGAAGACAATCTAAGCCTCAAATTGTATGTATTACTCTGAACCTCTTTTTTAATTGGTAATTTTTAAAATCCGACAAATTCTATATTGCATGTTTTTAATCATTCCAAATTCAAAATTTTGTTATTTGATTGGTGAATTAACCGAATAATGCGCACATACATAACCAATAGAATGAATTCCAGAATGAAGGCAGTCCTTTTAATTACAATCCTCATCCAGTGGATATGACTAATCTAACGCTCAGCAGAGAAATGCAAAATATGGCAGAACGGTTAGCAGAAAATTCTCACGACATATGGGCTAAAAAGAAAAAGGAGGAGTTGAACACCTGTGGTGGTGTTATACATCCTCAACTTGTACCATATGATTTACTTACTGATAAAGAGAAAAGAAAGGACCGCGAACGTTCGCAGGAATTCCTCAAGTACATGCAATACCAGGGCTATAAATTACACAAGTAATAAAAAACTTTATTTCCTTCAAATCAATTTAGAAAATAATAATATGTAATTAAAGGCCATCCAGAGGTGGGATAATGGAGGAAGGTGGAGCCACTCAACCAGCAGTAGAGTTAAGATTCTCGTACTCCTTACTTGAAAAACTCATACAATATTTAGATCGCGCCACCATTAACATGAAGCTCTTAAAACCGTCCACTACATTCAGTCGACGTACATCCTTTAAGACAGCTTCCCGTGATATAAAATTCTTTTCAAAAGTTGTTCTGCCTTTAATGGAAAAATATTTTTCAACTCATCGAAACTATTTTATTGCTGTTGCTACTGCTACTAATAATATAGGAGCCGCATCGCTAAAAGAAAAAGAAATGGTTGCTTCAATCTTTTGTAAGCTAGCATCATTGCTTCGGAATAGACTAAGTGCTTTTGGACCGGATGTGCGCATAACAGTGCGCTGTTTACAAGTGCTAGTCAAAGGTATTGATGCAAAAACAGTAGTCAAAAACTGTCCGGAATTCATACGCACGTCAATGCTAACATTTTTCAATCAAACTGCCGACGATTTAGGCAATACAATATTGAATTTGCAAGATGGAAAGTACAGTCATTTACGTGGCACACATCTGAAAACATCTACTTCTCTAACATATGTAAACCAAGTTGTGTTGCCAGTATTAACTGCAATGTTTGATCACTTGGCTGCCTGTGATTATGGTAGCGATCTTTTATTGGATGAAATACAGGTAGCTTCATACAAAATTTTGGCAGCACTTTATCATCTCGGAACTGATGGTACTCTTACTCATGAACGAAAATACTTAAAAACGGAAATTGAAAGACATCGTCCTGCTTTGGGTTCGTGTTTAGGAGCTTATAGTTCTTGTTTTCCAGTCGCATTTCTAGAGCCTCATCTTAACAAGCATAATCAGTTCTCACTGCTCAACCGCATTGCAGACCACTCACTGGAAGCACAAGATATAATGGTAAAAATGGAAAGCTGCATGCCTAATTTAGAAACCATACTTAGTGAAGTTGACCAATTTGTCGAATCGGACAAAAAATACAATGACTCACCGCATATAATTGATGTTATATTACCATTACTTTGCTCATATTTGCCATTTTGGTGGGCACAAGGACCAGACAATGTAAGCCCTACTAGTGGAAACCATGTTACTATGGTTACCGCTGATCACATGAATTCGCTACTCCGCAATGTTTTAAAGATGATTAAAAAAAACATTGGCAATGATAACGCTCCATGGATGACTAGAATTGCTGCATATACTCAACAAATTATTATCAATACCTCAGAAGAGTTATTAAAGGATCCATTTTTACCTTTAGCTGAGCGCGTAAAGAAACGAACAGAAAATATGTTCCACAAAGAAGAGAGTATGCGAGGATTTATTAAGTCAGCTACAGATGATACATCTCAAGTGGAAACACAATTGCAAGAAGATTGGCAACTTTTGGTGCGTGATATATACTCATTTTATCCGTTGCTAATTAAATATGTAGACTTACAACGCAATCACTGGTTGAAGGATAATATTCCTGAAGCCGAAGAGTTATATAACCATGTAGCTGAAATCTTCAATATTTGGTCAAAGAGTCAATACTTTTTAAAAGAAGAGCAGAATTTTATATCTGCCAATGAAATTGACAATATGGCCTTAATTATGCCTACCGCAACTCGTCGGTCAGCAATCACTGAAGGTGCACCTGTGACTGGGGGCAAAGTTAAAAAGAAGAAGAAAAACCGAGACAAAAAACGCGATAAAGACAAAGAAGTGCAAGCAAGTCTTATGGTGGCATGTCTGAAACGTTTACTGCCAGTTGGACTGAATTTGTTTGCAGGTCGCGAACAAGAACTGGTACAGCATTGTAAGGATCGATACCTGAAAAAAATGCCAGAATATGACGTCATCGAATTTGCTAGAAATCAATTAACTTTACCCGACAAACTTGATCCATCAGATGAAATGTCCTGGCAGCATTATCTTTATTCCAAGCTGGGAAAAACAGAAGAACCGGTCGAAGAACAAGCAGTGGAAAAGTCATCAAACCAAAACGAAAAAAAAGACAAAACAGAGGAAACAGTGGACCGTATCGTAGCAATGGCAAAAGTACTTTTTGGTCTTCACATGGTAAGTTGAAGGATCTTACACAGAATGTTTCAACTCTTATACAACTTTGAAATAATTTCAAATAATAATTTTTCAGTATCCAAATTCATATATTGTATATTTTAAACTTTCTCCTCTTTTATAATATACTTTTATTTAATTAAATTAATTTAATTCATTTTTAAACAATCTTTTCACATATTTTTTTAAATAACTTATTTTATACACACATCAATAATCCCAAACACCTACATATTTGAAACGATCTTGACCGTGAAACCCCAATTACAGATCGACCATCCACAACAGCAGAGCAGAAACGTCTACCGGAGTGTCGTATCCATACAAAGGAAACGTGCTGTAATCGCATGCTTCCGTCAGACATCGTTACATTCTCTACCCAGGTTTTTAAAAAAACGTTTACTTAAGCTAAATCAAAAAGTTTCGCGCATAAACGAAACGTTCGCTACACAAATAAGCCTAACCACATCCCACAACTTTCAATTGAAGCCTTGTTTGATTCATTTGCTGATTGTTCTCTTCTGTCCATGTTCTAAAAGAATTTCTGAAAGTACAAAATCTTTCGAAATTGTGATGACATTTGGAAAAGTTTTGGATAAATTTAAGGTCATTTAAGGTCATAGACAGTAGAAAAGCATGGATTGCTCTCTGATTCAATTTGTTTTCAATTACATCGAATCTATAGAAATTAAACAAATATTTATAAATAAATCTATATAAATTTAAGTCATTAATTGGATCATGGACTGAAGAAGAAACACGACACACTCCTTTAAACTAGATTTTAATTTATTGTATTTATTTTTCCACTTGTTTGTTTTTTTTTTTGTATGTTAATTTTTAACCAACTTCATACTAATGTCTTACTTCTGCTAACTTTAAGCTTATTGTATGATTGATACCATATTGTGTCCTTGATTCCTTTAGGCGTATCGATCTAAGCAAAATTCTAAACGTTGGAGTTCAAAAATTACATTGGCCCGACGCCGTGTGGTGCTATCAAGCTTGCGTGCCAAACATCTTTATCGAGTGAGCAGGTGGGGTGTACCTGTATGATTCTATCTGCTCCAAAACAAAATTGCTAGATTTTGGCAAATTTCAGTTTTGTATTAGAATATTTATATATAGTATACGAGTAGAATGCGTTTGCGTTTTGAATAGATATAATATTAAAAACTTTAATCGATAAACTAACCTTAAACTAAACGCATGCTGCAATTCTGTATATATGAATGCTTCTGAAACGTTTATATAAAATTAATTCTTCCCATTTTCAACCAGACACCGAGCTTGCAATATTTTTGCTCGCACATATTACGAACAGTGGTTGCAAGAAGAAAACGTTGGACAGGAAGTAATGATTGAAGATCTTACTCAAACATTCGAGGAATCTGAAAAGTCCAAGAAGGAGGAAGAAGAAACTGATGGCAAACCAGATCCACTAACGCAGTTAGTAACAACTTTCTGCCGCGGTGCTATGACTGAACGAAGTGGTGCTCTTCAAGAAGATCTTCTTTATATGTCTTATGCCCAAATTGCTGCTAAGTCTTGCGGTGAGGAAGAAGAAGAAGGTGGTGATGAAGAAGGCGGTGGAGAAGGTGGAGAAGAAGGCGAAGGAACAAGCATACATGTGAGTATAAGTCCAATCAACTAGCATTGCTAATCAAAGTACATTTTTACTCATGCCAACTTTCGATCGGATCAGGATCGATTAATGGTAAATAATGTTAATATAAAAGTGTAACGACGCAAATGATTTATCGTTAACAAACACTAACTGTCTATAACTAGTTTTTAATATTTAACATTAATTTGTTATTGATTTTAAGGAACAAGAAATGGAGAAGCAAAAGCTTCTCTTCCATCAAGCTCGTTTATCCAATAGAGGTGTAGCAGAAATGGTCTTGTTGCACATATCAGCTTCTAAAGGAATTCCATCAGAAATGGTAATGACAACTCTTAACCTTGGCATTGCGATCTTACGAGGAGGTAACATTGATATCCAATTGGGAATGTTAAACCATCTAAAAGAGAAAAAAGATGTTGGTTTTTTTACTTCAATCGCTGGATTAATGAATTCTTGCAGTGTATTAGATTTAGATGCGTTTGAACGGAACACCAAAGCAGAAGGTAAACTTTCAGTTTACTTATTATACAATCTCAAATCTACCACAAATCCAGTTCACATCCCATATCATTTACTCATTGTGTATGTTCCTCTAAAGTTCAGTTTAAAAAGTTCTCATGACTTTTATTTCATACCTTCAGTTTTTAATTTTTATTTATTTTTCCAAAACATTGTTATATTATATTACCAATATCCCCCCGTGTCCTGGTATTATGTTTATCGTTAAAATACAACCCACCCTCAAATGTCATCCACAAACACAAACCGCATGCATCCTCTTATCGTCCTCTCACACAATTGTAAAAATTGCACAACAAAGAGTACATTCCAAGTGCGGGTGCAGGTCTTGGTGTTGGATCGGAAGGCGCAGCTGGCGAAAAGAACATGCATGATGCTGAATTTACATGTGCTCTGTTTCGTTTCATACAACTAACGTGTGAAGGTCATAATCTAGGTAACATATCAATTAATTTTCTACTATAAAATTAATTGATATGTTTATATTCCCACTTTCATTCAGATTGGCAGAATTACTTGCGCACGCAGGCGGGAAATACAACAACCGTCAACGTTGTGATCTGTACTGTTGACTATCTGCTGCGTTTGCAAGAATCCATAATGGATTTTTACTGGCATTACTCTAGTAAAGAAATTATTGATCCTGCAGGGAAAGCCAATTTTTTCAAAGCAATTGGAGTGGCCAGCCAAGTTTTCAACACACTCACTGAAGTTATTCAAGGTCCTTGCACTCTTAATCAACAAGCTTTGGCCCACTCTAGGTTGTGGGATGCAGTAGGCGGTTTTCTTTTCCTTTTCTCTCATATGCAAGAAAAACTTTCAAAGCACTCGAGTCAAGTCGATTTACTGAAGGAACTATTAAATTTACAAAAGGATATGATCACTATGATGCTTTCAATGCTGGAAGGAAATGTTGTGAATGGTATGATACTGAATCATTGATTCTATTAAATGTTTAATGTTATAAATTTAAATATTTTTCAGGAACTATTGGCAAACAAATGGTAGACACACTTGTTGAATCAGCTGGAAACGTGGAACTGATCTTGAAATATTTCGATATGTTCTTGAAATTAAAAGACTTAATTGAATCGCCAAGTTTCCAAGAAATTGACATAAAGAATGAAGGTTGGGTCACACCAAAAGATTTTAGAGATAAGATGGAACAGTCTAAAAATTATACACTGTAAGATAATGAAGAACATACTCAATTTAAAAATATTAAATACTCTAAAATATATTAATTTAATTTTCTTTTAGGGAAGAAATGGATTTTCTTTTGGCATGTTGCGAACGGAATCACGAGGGTAAAATTGATTATGGTGCCTTCGTCGACCGTTTCCATGAACCATCAAAGGAAATCGGTTTCAACTTGGCTGTACTATTGACAAACCTTAGTGAACATATGCCGAATGAACCACGTCTGGCGCGTTTCTTAGAAACCGCCGGTTCTGTATTAAACTACTTTGAACCGTTCCTTGGTCGCATTGAAATTTTGGGTAGTTCAAAACGTATTGAACGGGTTTATTTCGAAATTAAAGATTCTAATATCGAACAATGGGAAAAACCGCAAATTAAGGAATCAAAACGAGCGTTCTTTTACTCAATTGTCACTGAAGGCGGTGATAAAGAAAAGCTAGAAGCATTTGTAAATTTCTGTGAAGATGCAATATTTGAAATGACTCACGCTTCAGGTCTTATGGCAACTGATGACAGTAGCGGTAACGTCAAACGTGACACGGCATATAGCTCCTATATGAGTGAGGAAGAAGAGGAACGTGCAGCTCGTGACCCCATACGACGTACCATACAAGCAGTAAAAGATGGTCTCAAATTCGGTGTACATATGTTAAGTCCAGCTAACATCAAACATCAAATCACAGTTATGCAAACGAAATCAGTTCCAGAGTTAATTATAGGCTTCTTTAAGATAATTTTATATATGTTCTATTACACAGGGTATGGAAACTTCTGCGTAGTTAGATACATTTTCGGTATACTTATGAATTTGATGCGTGGTCCAGCTCCAGAAGAAATTGAAGCACCCATGGTGGTGGAAGAAACATTTGGAAAAGCATTACCCCCATTACCTATAGAAGAACCTCCTGGTACGCTGCAAGCATTCGGTTTAGATATAAGTAAGGAAGAAAATGGACAGTACAAAATGGCGCCTCATGAAGCACCAAGTGGAAGTCCTACGTCTTCAATTGAAGAAACAGGCGAATCAAGTCCTGAAGACGGCACACTTTTAGGTGAGCCTCTTGTTGAAGGAGAGCAGCACCTAGAGCCAGTATCAATTGTTGATTTACTTGGTGGAGAAGCAGCAAAGAAAGCAGCACTCGAACGCCAAGAAGCACAGAAAGCACAAGAAGCAGCCATGGCTTCTATAGAAGCAGAAGCTAAAAAGACATCAGCATCCGCGCAAGAAACTCCCGCTGTTCATCAGATAGACTTCTCTCAATACACTCACAGAGCAGTTAGTTTCTTGGCGCGCAATTTTTACAATCTAAAATACGTGGCACTCGTCTTAGCCTTCAGCATAAATTTTATGTTGCTCTTTTATAAAGTAACATCTCTAGGAGAAGAACAAGAAGCGTCTGGTGACGACGAATTGATTTTGGGATCAGGTTCCGGAGCAGGATTGACAGGATCTGGCTTCGGATCTGGAGAAGGTTCCGGTGAAGGTGACGGTGGCGACGACGATATACCAGAGTTAGTGCATGTTGATGAAGATTTTTTCTACATGGAACATGTTATACGCATTGCTGCCATGTTGCACAGTCTAGTGTCTTTAGCAATGCTCATAGCTTACTATCATCTCAAAGTGCCACTTGCCATTTTCAAGAGAGAGAAAGAAATTGCTCGCCGCTTAGAGTTTGACGGATTATTTATAGCTGAACAACCCGAAGATGACGACTTCAAATCGCATTGGGATAAATTAGTTATATCGGCAAAATCATTTCCAGTTAATTACTGGGACAAATTTGTCAAAAAGAAAGTGCGACAAAAGTACAGCGAGACCTATGATTTTGATTCTATATCTAATCTTCTCGGCATGGAAAAAAGCGCATTTATGGCACAAGAAAGCGAAGAGGGAGGTTTAGTTAAGTATATTATGAACATTGACTGGCGCTATCAAGTGTGGAAAGCAGGTGTTACATTTACAGATAATGCGTTCCTTTACTCACTATGGTACTTCGTGTTTTCAGTAATGGGCAATTTCAACAACTTTTTCTTCGCAGCTCACTTGCTCGACGTGGCTGTTGGTTTCAAGACATTGCGTACCATTTTACAATCAGTAACGCACAATGGCAAACAGCTTGTCTTAACTGTAATGCTTTTAACTATTATTGTGTATATTTACACTGTGATTGCCTTTAACTTCTTCCGTAAGTTTTACATTCAAGAAGAGGACGAAGAAGTCGACAAAAAATGTCATGATATGTTGACATGCTTCGTATTCCATTTATATAAGGGCGTGCGAGCAGGTGGAGGTATTGGTGATGAAATTGGAGATCCTGATGGCGACGATTATGAGGTCTATCGCATTCTTTTCGACATAACTTTCTTCTTCTTTGTTATTGTTATATTACTGGCCATTATTCAAGGTTTAATCATTGATGCCTTTGGTGAGTTGCGTGATCAGCTGGAGTCTGTGAAAGAAAATATGGAATCAAATTGCTTTATATGTGGCATGGGAAAAGATTTCTTCGATATAGTGCCGCACGGTTTCGATACGCACGTGCAAAAGGAACATAACTTGGCAAACTACATGTTCTTCCTGATGCACTTGATTAATAAACCTGATACTGAATATACAGGACAAGAAACCTATGTTTGGAACATGTATCAACAGCGAAGTTGGGACTTCTTTCCAGTAGGCGATTGCTTCCGTAAACAGTACGAGGATGAATTATCTGGTGGTGGAGGTAGCGGATAATCTTTGCAAAACGAGGCTGAAACATCTTTAAATTGTTTATATGTAGTACATATATACTCGTAATAATTTTAAAATGCAATATTTTTAATACTATTTTGCAATGATATTGATTAAATAATATGTATATTAAACTAAACATTTTTTCTACGATATATATTAAAATAAAATATTTTATTGTTATTTCAACTTAGATATATTGATTGATAACTCCTCAATCTATTGTTTGTTAATGAACATTGAATTGTACATTTGTTTTATTTAAAAAAATAATCACAATAATATTAGAAAATATGAAAAAAATATTTACGTTTGTATTTTGATTTTTGATACGTAGATTTGTACGTAACTAAATAGCACACCGCACACAGGGGTATTTGACCAATTTAGGTTACAATATGCGTTTCTACAGAAGCCATTATATATTCGTATCCTGCACATCAATTTCATCATATTCTTCCTTCACATGTTCTATTAACTCATCTAATGGATCTACTGCACTTTCTACCAAATTATCGAATAACTCAAGGTAACTTGTACCCTGTATTTGAGGTTGATTAACTATGATAGTCTCACTGATATGCTGCGTTTGCTTGAGATGCGCAAGCAAGAATGGTTTTCGCATGAATCCAGCACCGCATTCCATACACTCATAAGGTTTTTTATTGCTGTGCACAAAGCGATGTGCATTTCTGTTATCACTACTACTAAATCTTTTACCGCAGACTTCACATTCGTAAGGTTTCTCTCCTGAATGTATTCGCATGTGTTTCTTAAAATGTTCGGGGTAAACAAATCCCGAACCACACATATCGCACTTGTACGGACGTTCACCTGTATGTGCAGCTTTTTTATGATAATCCAGTAAACGTCGACGTTTAAAGGAACGATGACAGATTTCACACTCGTGTGTTTTTTCATTGAAATGTGTTGATTTTTTATGTGACATTAAATTCGAACGTTGTGCAAATGACGTAGAACATATGTCACATTTAAACGGTTTTTCGCCAGTATGTATCCGTTCATGATCTCTTAATTCATTTCTTCTAGCAAACGATTTTTCGCATGTAGTGCAATTATACGGACGATTTGAAGTATGAATAACTTTATGGAATTCCATATTATGTTTCGTGAAAAACGCCTTATTGCAAATATCACATACGAAATCCTTCGTGTTTGTATGCAGTTTTTTGTGCTGAACTAAATTTTGGTGATGCATAAACGTTTTGTCACATTCATCGCACTCAAAAGGTCGTAATCGTTCAGAATGAATTTTCACATGTGTTTGCAATGTGTATTTTGAAGCGAAGTCCTTTGGGCAAAGATTGCATTTAAAAGGACGTAACCCAGTATGAATATTCATGTGCTCATCCAACACCTTCTTTGAATTAAATTGTTTATGACATTCAACACATTCGTGCACTTTCCCAAAGCTGCCATGCATTCGCTTGTGAATACGATATTGACGAGGATTTTCGAATTTTTTTGTACAAACATTACACTCTAACTGAGCCCCATTTGATAGTTTTTTATAGTGTTCCTCTAAATGTTGATGGAGATCTTGATTATTTGTGAAACCAACATTACATATATCACAAATGAAAAAATGTATACTGTGAACGGAAAGCATGTGTTCCACAAATGATTCAGCATCAAATTCTTCAGCTACATTACAGGTTAAGCAACAATAATTATTGCTATTTCGTTCGTACTTTAGTTCGTGTTTAGAATTTCCTTCGGACACTAGTAAGGTTTTTACAGTATGCTCGTGTTCATGGTTTTGGTCCATGTCAACTACTACAACCAAATCTAGTATGAAATAAACATTTTTTATGTGTATAATGTAGAAAATATTTAAATATAGTTTACTCACCATCTTTACAATTATCTACATAGTCTGGTAGACAGGTATTACTCTCGTTATTTTGGTTATAGTTCAAGGCTGAAGAAATTAAAGAAGTTTGATCACTACTATTATCGTAAACAATAAGATCTAAAACAAAAATATTTAATTTTTAATATCAATCCAAAATAATTCATATATGAGACACACCATCAATAGATTCATCTACTAAACCAACTGGTATATTTATGGCATAATGAAGATTTAAGCTATCAGGTAAAATCAATTGAGTTTCTTTCTTGTTTTGTAAATTTTCCCCTCGAATTTCACTAAAAAACCTTTGCGGCTCCTCTTTTATAAATAACTGCTGAGCTTCTGGCAACTCAGTATTTGTAGCTTGATTTATGCTACCTTCAAATTTGTGATTTAAATTTGCAAAGTTAGGTTTAGTATCTCGTTTTTGTTCCAGTCCAATATCTAAGAGAATTTCATTAGCAGATGGCATTTCTAATGCGTCATTTAAGTCGGTTGGTACAATTGCCAGGCCAAGTCGTTTTGCAGTAACATTATACATACGTATAATACTGTTTCGTAGCTCAAATAATTGTTGTTCAAGTCTGTCATGATTTAGCAAGTCGTCATAGCATGAAGTACAAAGGAACTATATATAGAATAGAAATTATAGTCACATATTACATATTATATATATTTTAAAGTCACATACCCGTGAATGCGTATCTGATTCGTTAATATGAAAACCTAGTATATTTGACAGAATTGTTGATACCGAATATTCAATTTGACTTTTTTCTTCCACACGACAATTAAATAAAAACAAAGACTCTTCTCCTTCATCAAAAGCGTGGTCACACACAAAGCATTTCAAGACTAAATAGCATTGGCTTTCATCTAGGATAACGGGGTCGTCTTCCAGTTGTTCCATTTTTTATTAAAATTTCTGCTATTTGATAAATTACTATCATATTTATTTATTTACAAAAAATTATTTTCACGATATCAAAATAATAGCTTCAAACTCATTTACGTACTACCAACTTTGCAACGTAAAATTCATTTCCTATTCGCCAATTTACACTTACTAAAAAGACAGTATAGTATAGTTTTACTTACTTGAATGTGAAATCCTACAAATATATTTAATATATTTCAAATAGAATATAATTCTTATATTAAAACATCTCGAATAATTTTATATTTTTTGTAAATGTGAGGTATGTTCACTGTAAGCGAACTCGCAATATAAAACTGCTTATTTATCCCGTTTACGCCAGCCTTAAATATATTTTAAGCTACTGAAATCGAAGAAGAAAAACAGTATGCAATTTTTTATTCGCCATTATAAATATTAAGATATTAAAATTTTCGATAAATTCAATTAATAATATCCACATCATCACACATAGCAACCAAAGAATCCCTTCTTGGTATTCCTTGATAACAACATAAAGCATAATTAAACTGGTATAGCAGATACATTGGCGTTCATCAGAATTTCGATCATAATATATGCCATTTAACTTTAAAATATTAACATATCTTTAAATAGGTCCGTTTCTATACTTTTTATATAATAATCAATTAACATTTAATATAAGAATATCATGTCTCATATCTAAGGCAAAATTTTTTATTTATTATGTAGAGGATTGAAAGTGATATGTTGATTTCCAGTTTTATTTGAATTTTACTTATACAAATTTATCAAGTAAAATACAAGAATGTTTGTTTTTCTTTCTATATTTTAGGCATGGTAACGAAAAATAGTAGAATTCAAGTAACTTCTTATATGAATTTTACTACAAGAACGTACCGCAAAAGACCGTAAAAATTGAACGTAAACGCTAAAAGTGCTTAGCACTCACTGAACATATCACGAAAAAATGTTCTCTCAGTTTGCGTAGTTAACAATGACGGGTGTGTTACCATTTGTACGCGGCGTAGATTTTACCGAAAATGACTTTAGTGTAAGTTTTTTTTTAATGAAAAAAATATCGAAAACAAATTATTATATATTTGTGTACTAAATACATAGAAATAAAATATCTAATTTGAGAAATCTAAGAGATATTACTACAGCAGAAATCAGATTGCTTATCGCTAACGATAGTTTCTGCTGCGCTGCACCAACTGTCAGATTGATTTGTCATGAATTCTAGAGAGCGAATTTTGTTTACAAACATTCAATGTTATTTTTACTTATGTATGTTTTTTTATTGTAGGATAAAAAATTTCCAAATGCCTTACGGCTGATGACACGATTACAATGGTTAAATTTGGACAAAACACAATTGCGAGAAATTCCTGAAGAATTAGGGAATTTGCTTAAGCTGGAACACCTTTCACTAAAGAATAATGATTTGGAAAAACTTTTTGGTGAACTCACTGAGTTGTCATGCCTGCGTTCTCTGAACCTTAGGCATAACCGAGTCAAAAGCAGTGGAATACCACCAGAACTGTTTAGATTGGATGAATTGACCACTCTTGACCTTTCTCATAATAAACTTAAAGAAATTCCTGAGGGTTTGGAGCGTGCAAGCAGTTTACTGGTGCTTAACCTTAGTCATAATACTATCGAAACAATACCAGCACAATTGTTCATTCATTTAAGGGATTTGCTTTTCCTGGATTTATCACATAATCGACTTGAAACATTACCACCACAAACTCGACGATTGATTAATTTGCAAACCTTACTATTAGCAGATAACCCTCTTGAATTGTTCCAGCTTAGACAATTGCCCTCATTGCAAAGTTTGGAAGTTTTAAATATGCGTAATACCCAACGAACATTATTAAATTTTCCAACTACTTTGGATAGCTTGTCAAATTTGGCTGAATTGGACTTGTCACAGAACGCATTACCAAAAGTGCCCGATTGTGTTTATAATGTGCCTAATCTTCGAAGGTTAAATATGAGTGATAATGCGATAACTGAACTAAGCTCAAGCGTAGAATTTTGGCAACGACTAGAGGTCCTTAATCTATCACGTAATAATTTAACATCGCTGCCGTCAGCACTGTGCAAACTAGTACAACTCAGACGGTTATTTATTAATGATAATAAAATTGATTTTGAAGGAATTCCTTCAGGTATTGGTAAACTTTGCTCTCTAGAGGTTTTTTCTGCCTCAAATAATTTATTAGAAATGATTCCTGAAGGTCTATGTCGTTGCGGAGCTTTAAAAAAATTAAATCTAAGTTCCAATCGTCTCATAACCCTACCTGATGCAATTCATTTACTTGATGGTTTAGACCAATTAGATTTACGTAATAATCCAGATTTAGTTATGCCGCCAAAACCTACTGAAATGACAAAAGGTGCTGGTGTTGAATACTACAACATCGACTTCTCATTACAAACTCAATTAAGATTGGCTGGAGCGACAGTACCGTCGTCGGTACCAGCTGCTTCAACTCCAAAAGACTCTACTGCACGTAAAATACGGTTGCGTCGTGGTCCACGAACTGAATCGGATCAAGACTCTGCTAAAATTCTTAAAGGAATGAAAGATGTAGCCAAAGATAAAGATGAAAGTGGCCTCAATTTATCTTGGATTGGAGATTCTGATGATAGTCGCCAAGAATCTTTGAAACCCAAACGTTGGGATGAATCACTGGAAAAACCTCAACTGGACTATTCAAAATTTTTTGAAAAAGAAGATGGTCAATTGCCTGGTCTAACGATTTGGGAAATTGAAAATTTTTTACCAAATAAAATTGAAGAAGTTGCGCATGGTAAATTTTATGAAGGCGACTGCTATATAATATTAAAGACATGCTACGTTGATTTGGGACAACTTTCATGGGAGATATATTTTTGGATTGGTAATGAGGCAACATTAGATAAACGTGCTTGTGCTGCAATACATGCTGTAAACCTAAGAAATTATTTAGGAGCGCGTTGTCGCACAATTCGTGAAGAACAAAGTAAATTATTAATGGTAAACATTAATGGTATTATTTTTAATGCTAATCATTATTACAGATGACGAGTCTGAGGAATTTTTAGCTCTCTTCGACACAGAAGTAACGTATATTGAAGGTGGGAGAACTGCAACTGGTTTTTACACAATTGAAGAACTGTTATATAACACACGACTTTACCGAGTGCATGCCGCTGGATCTTCCATACATTTAGAACCTGTAGCAGTTGACTTTAACTCGTTAGATCCACGATTTGCATTTGTACTAGATTGTGGTGTCAAAATATATATATGGCTCGGACGTTGTTCGAAAAATACTTTAAATTCAAAAGCTCGTTTAATGTCAGAAAAAATAAATAAAACTGAACGAAAGAATAAATGTGAAATTATTGTCGAAATGCAAGGTAATAATATTTTTGATATAGTAAACAGAATAAAAATATGGACAATTATTTTCTAGGTGATGAGAGCGAATCATTTTGGCTGGATTTAGGATGTGACATCAGTGTAGCAGGAACAGTAAAGATATCTCAGCATGTTGCTAACACATTTGTTCCTACTACAGCACGGCTCTATCAGGTACAACTCGGTATGGGTTATTTAGAATTGCCTCAAGTTGAAATACCGCAACAGAAACTGGTCCATACTTTGCTTAATAGCAAAAACGTGTATATATTAGATTGCTTTGCTGACTTATTTGTGTGGTTTGGGAAGAAATCAACGCGATTAGTTCGGGCGGCTGCTCTAAAGCTATCGCGAGAGTTATTCACTATGATTATTCGCCCAGAGTATGCGCTTGTGACTCGCGTCCAAGAAGGCACTGAAACGCAAATCTTTAAATCAAAATTTACTGGTTGGGATGAAGTTATGGCAGTAGATTTTACACGTACTGCTACTTCTGTAGCTAAAACTGGCGCTGATTTGAGTAAGTGGGCGCGGAAACAAGAAACGCGTGCTGATCTGGCGGCTTTGTTTACGCCTCGACAAAATTCTATGCCTTTGAGTGAAGCCGAACAGTTAGAGGAAGATTGGAATTATGATTTGGAAGCAATGGAAGCGTTTGTATTAGAAGGTAAAAAGTTTGTCCGTTTACCGGAGGAAGAGTTGGGGCACTTTTTTACAGGAGAATGTTATGTATTTCTCTGTCGTTATTGTATACCTTACGATGAAGAAGACGGAGCTGAAGGTGATGAATCTCGTCCTCCACCAGAAGATGATATACAATGTGTTGTTTATTTTTGGCAAGGAAGAAATGCTGGAAATATGGGATGGTTAACATTCACTTTTACATTACAGAAGAAATTTAAAGCTATGTTCGGAGAAGAATTGGAAGTTGTGCGCATACATCAGCAGCAAGAAAATTTAAAGTTTATGGCACATTTTAAAAGAAAATTTATTATTCACACCGGTAAGCGTAAAGATAAATCGAAAACACCTGACGGTAAGGCTGCTGTTGAATTTTTCCATTTACGCTCTAATGGCGGCGCATTATGTACCCGCCTTATACAAATACAGCCGGATGCTGTCTATCTAAACTCAGCTTTTTGGTAAACATGGAACATTATTGGCAAAAGTTAAAAGAAAATAATGTTATTTTTTATTTTATAGTTACATACTTTTTGTGCCTTTTGAAACCGAGGACGAGTCTCAATCCGGAATCGTTTATGTATGGTTAGGTTCCAAATCCAGTGCAGAGGAAACAAAACTTATACAAGAAATAGCAGAGGGCATGTTTAATAACCCCTGGGTTAGTCTGCAGGTAAGTCATTATATTGTCAATAAATATATTATTTTTGTATAAGTAAAATTATTTGTTTAACATAGATTCTTAATGAAGGAGAAGAACCAGAAAATTTCTTCTGGGTGGCTTTAGGTGGTCGCAAAATATATGACACTAATGCTGATTATATGAATTATACACGCCTCTTCCGCTGTTCTAATGAAAAAGGATATTTTACTGTAGCTGAGAAATGCACAGATTTCTGTCAAGATGATTTAGCAGATGACGATATTATGATTTTAGACAATGGAGATCAAGTATTTTTGTGGCTTGGATCTCGTTGCAGCGAAGTTGAAATAAAATTAGCTTATAAATCCGCACAAGTAAGTTTGTTCGTAATAAATACTTTTTTATATACTTATGTTAACATCAATTTTCACACAAAATTTATAGGTCTATGTACAACATATGCGCATCAAGCAACCCGAGCGATCGCGAAAACTTCTAATATCTATTAAAAACAACGAATCGAAACGTTTTACAAAATGTTTCCATGGCTGGAGCGCACACAAGACACCGCCAGAATAATTAAACTGCGCGGCAAGAAATGCACAAGCTTTTGCATGACAAAAATAAACCCTCAATGATACCTGTATTCCTCCAATTGCAATATTTCTATTTTATTGTTTATTTTCTATATTAAACTTTATAAAAGTATTTATCGTTTATGACCGTACGTATTTATGCATATAAAAGTTTTATTGTCTTATCACGCTTTACTAATAAAATAATTTATTAAAGAAAAGTATTTCATTTTAATATATATGCAGGCAACTTTCAAATGGGCTAGTCATTTGTTTATATGTTTTAATTGATTTAAATTTTAATGCACCGCCCGCCTGTAGATCTTATCTTTCTCTACTTTTGTGCAAAATATAAATTATATTGAAATATGTAAAATAAAAAACATTTTTTTATTAATTATATTTTATTTCGTTGGCTATAATTTTAATTCTTGTTCTTCAAAACAGTTATATAACAATATTCAACAAATGCAAAATAGTAATACAAACAATAGTTAAAATGGATAAATAATTTTTAAACTTTTTTAAACAAAATGATAGTTTTGTGTAATATAAATAAGAACGAATTTTTTCATATAAATAACATTAAATATAAATTACATTTAAATTATTGTTTAATTTTGTTGTTTTTAAAATCACAGTTTTAATTCTAAAGTTGCAATAAGTAAAATAAATCCATTTACTTATTGCAAAACTCGTGCATGAAAAATTTGAGTACAACTTCAAAAATATAAGTATTTGAATGAGTTGTATTAACAATATACCATATATTGTTATGTTACATATTGCAACAAATTAATTAAATATTAATATTAATATCGCATAAGTAAGTGAACAAATAAGTTTACCAGTAAAATTCTGCTAACGGAAATTGTACAATTGAAAATAGTATAAAATAAAAACAATGAAAATTGCAGCAAAATATCAGTAATCGAGGCGTTTCTTCAATCGGAAAATCTCGGCATTGTCTATGCTATTGTTGTTATCCATGTTAAGATTCCGTAAAGTTGATAGCGTGGATAGACGTTCCTCAATATCAGTGTACATAAGGCGGCAACGATGAACAGATAATGTCTATAAAATAAACACGTTAAAAGTTTGGCTTTGGTCATATTAAATGATTTTAAACAAATTTTTGTTTAAAGTTGACGATATAAATTTATATAATGAAATAGTTTTGATGAAGTTTTAATTAAATAATTCTAAAAGAAGGCATTTTTTAAAAACATTAGATTGTATAACAAAAATATCAATATCTAAATTGATGGTAACGGGAATGATTTATGGGTAAGGCTAAGGCCTTTCTGCTTTGCGTTCACTGGTGCACTGATCTATTGTGCACCATCTAAATTGATAAACTTCACTGAAACTTTTTTATGTTTTCTGAAAAATATATCTCATCTGAATTTTAACTGACCTGGCAGTGTCACTCATATTTTTATTAATCAATTCCGTTATTATCAATGTTATGTAATACAATTTGAAATGCTCAACATACGATTTTAAAGTGAATATCAACTAACAAATAAAATTATTTTTAAAACTCATTTAATAGTCAGTTGGAAGGAAGACTATAAACTGAATCAGCCGAACCGAATCAAATTCAATACCTATATCATATTAAACATTATTCACAGATTTTTGTTTTAAAATATTATTTAACAAATAATGAAGAAGAACCAGTTCAAATGATGCAGTTCATATAAAGATTCAAGAACCGTTTTCAAAAATTGTATTTATGTCAAAAACTGTAAAACTTATTTGTAATGAAATGGTTATTCAGGTATGCGGGTATTGCTACATTAATTTGTTTTGTGAAGCTGGGTATGAGGGCAACGAAATGGTAGATTTCTTGTCAAAGAAGGATGCATGTATTCCTTTCATTGGTCCAGAGCCCTTCTGTGAGGTGACGAACAGCTAGATATATAACTTAATATGTGAGTGGGAGAAACGAAGTCTATTTGAACACTTGATATTCCAAACCGGCATGCGACAGTCAAGAAGATTTATTATTCTTGAACACATCAAAGTTGACGCTATCCTTAACCTTAGCAGAAACGATATTAAACTCTACATTTAACTACTTACAGGACACTGTACACTCAATTACCACATGAAGAATATAGGTGTGGCAGAAAGTGATTCCTGTTGAATCTCTTATGAGAAGAACGAAACATTAGAACATGTTCTATGCCACTACCCAACGGCGGCAAGATATTGACGTGTCTACCTTGGTAGCGGGATCTTGGTCCCAAATTAAATAGAAAAAATTAAGCCCATAGCAATTCCTACATTTATAAATAGTTTAGAATTGTTTTAGTTGGGCATTTAGGCGCACAATAAATCTTTTAAATCGCGGTTCATTTATAGCCTATTATTTAATAATATTAATAGGAAAATACAAGCTTTATAACATCTCTGATATCTCTACCACACTATGCATCTATTCTACTTACATGTAAGCATTTGCAGTTTATCAGTATTGCATCTAAACTATGATCGGTAAGTTGGCTGCAGCCACTAATATTAAGTGAACGCAAACGTGTTAGTTTAGTAGTTATAACTTGCAAAGATTTATCGTTAATGCAATAACAGTTAGACAGATTCAATTCCTGTATGGATGGACAATTTAACACTAATGCTTCCATGCCAACGATTGAAATCTGTTGGCAATTAGATAGTATCAGACATTGGAGCTCGAGTAATTTCAATCCATACTTCAATGAAACGTCAGTTATTTTTGTGCAACCACTCAAGTTCAGTGAACGAAGACCTTTGAGATTTTGTATGCTGTGACCCTCAATATTCAAGTCTTCTATTAAGTTCAGTTCATAAGCAGCAAACATAGCTTTCTTTCGGTTAGCATCTAGTATAATTTCTTCCTCAGCTTTGCTTCGTAGTGAAATTTTTATTGAATGGTTTGATTTCAAAAATTCATCTTGAACAACCAAATTTGTTCTAGGTGGTGGATGAAAATTTTCTAACATGCTGGGATTTGTTGCTTGTAATTCTACTTTGGATATGTTTATGCCGGTAACTGCAGTATCAGTAATCTATAAGAAATTAATATAAGTATTAACTTTTTAATAAAAATTGTAAAATTAATTCACCAACCCGGAAACACTCTTCTAGAGATAAATTTGTCAACCATTTTAAGTGCTTTATAATGCATTGTAAAGATTCATCTGTAACACCATTAACACAATTGTCTAATATCAAAACTGTAAGATTGGGAATATTCTGAGCAATGCATTTGATGCACTCTTCACAAACTTTAAGATAACCCATTCGTAATTCACGCAAGACCTCATTGCAGCTTTGAGCAATGCCGAGAGTTATTCCTTCACTTGTGATCCCTTGGCAGCGTGATATATCCAAGCACTGTAAATACTTTAAATTGACAAGCAAAACTGCTCCATCGTTTGTTAGATTCATGCATCCAGAAAATATAACTTTCTCTAGCATTGGATTTGAATAAACTATAACTTTAATTGAGTCACTAGTAACGCACATGGTTTCAGAAAGGTCTAGCACTGTGAGTTTTGGCTGTGTTTGCATGAACGTAGTTAAGTACTGAACATTTAACTGCCGACAATAGGCCAAATATAAATGCTTTAATTGCAATTCTTTTAAATCAGAAAGTGCAAGCAGAGCTTGACCAGTCACACTACTGTGACTTAGATTCAGTTTATGTATATGTGCTTGATGCAGACTTAATACCAGCAACACAAATTTGAATGTCAGTATAGATTCATTAGGTGCAATATTGCTATCATTTGGATAAAAACGTCTTTGTATAGAATTGTGATAAGATATATGACAGTCGGAAATATCAAGAGACTCAATGCACTTTAATAACGACGTTAAACGCATTAATATTGCATCTGACAAATACTGATTGTGTCGCAGAGATAAATGCTTTATACTTGATAATGTAGTATTTTCCCTTGTACAGTCATTAACACGTTCCAGAAAGGAACCTGACATAAAAAGATGCGAGCAACTCGTAATGGACAGTTCCTGCAATTTAGTGAAGTTTTGCATTATTGCATAGAATTGCTTATCGCTCATGTCTACATTATCAAAAGTGAGACTTAACGCTGTCTGACCAATGTGTGCCATGATTTCTTGGACATGTTCGAAAGTGACTTCTTCAAAGTAATAGTTTTGAAATGGTCGGTAACAGTTTAGAAAGATTTTGGCAGGTGGGTGCAGATCAGAGAAACCTAATTTACTGAAACGCACCAACAGCTTTTTGTTGAATTCCGGTTCAAATAATGCTTCACGCCAACGTTTGCAGGTACAACCAGCCATTTGACGGTCTGTGTAGTTAAGATAACGAAATATGTGCAAAATAATCTGCAAAATGATTCAAAGGAATGAAAAGGGTAATTAATTGTAGTTTACTCTTATTTATATCTTATCAACAAGAGAGGGGGGTTGTTGTATTTGAGTTTTATAATTACACTCGATATATCATGATAAATCACTCTATTGACTGACTGTCACGTGAGAATTACGTTCGCGTGAAATAACTCGCTTACCTCCATTGGTAAATCTCCATAATCTGGATACAAAGAAATACAGTAATCCATTTTTTAATTTCTTAATTTCCGTGATTTCTATTCAAAACAGTCAAAATTATATATATATATACATATATATATATATTAAAATATATATAAATGTATTCTTTGTCAAATAACTTTGGTTATTTACTTTTTGAATTGATTAGAACTGAATAATTTTATTTAAAATGTTGTCTTCATTACTTTACTCTCTCGCACTTCTTCTGTTTCGAGAATAACATTTACTATATATTAATTCTATTAATGTTATTATTTACACTTCTTCAAACAAATATTGTGTTATTTATTTGCTTTTATACAATAAATAAAAGAACCGAGATTTTCTCTAAACAAACACAATCAGCTGTGAGCTCTAACACGTGAAATTTAAGTGTTGGAAAACGGAATTTGAATTTATAGCATATGTTGCAGGTGCATCCACATCAAAGCGATTGCTTGCGAACGAACATTTGCACAAATGCGCCCGAATTATTTTTGGTGTAGACGAGAAAAAAACTTTATAGCAAATTAGGCGAACGAACGAACATTTGTAAGGCAATCTATCCGATGAAGCAAATGCGAACAAACTCATTTGTGTTTGCGTTTGTAGAGTTTGTTTGCGTTTGTGAATGTTCGCTTATTAACAATATTTTAACATCATTATAATAGTATTGGTTTTTTAAAATATTTATTTTAGTTTAAAATATTTAAATGGAAATATTAAATTGAATAATATAAGAAGCCCAAAGAATAATAAAAGATTCCTTAAATTCCAAAAAAAATCTTTTGTGATTGTACGTATTTATGCAACCTTTTTTCTTGTAACATTTATGCATGAGAGTTGAGCGGCAGACTTTGGCTATCTATCATGATAGCAGTTTACAGACGTTACGTTTTTTTTGTGTACGGGAATGTACATTGTTGACTGCATTAAGCCGCATCCTTAGCTGCCTCAAATTGATATTTGGACCACGGAACGAACACTTGAAGCATGTCTTGCGTCGCATTGAATTCAATCAGCCTTCGTCCGTTTTCCGACCGTTGGACCAAACATTTTCTCTTTTCCGACCTTTGCGTTAAAATTCCCGAAAATATTTCAGCGTTGTCACGGGAATTAGGTTATATATTTTCTCAAGTCTCATGTGACATTCTTCTCTTTTCTCTTTCCTTATGTCGACGCGTGAGCTTCACTTAAGATGATGTTAAAGAATTTGTGCGGAATATTGCAAGCCTTTCGTTTAATGGTGTTAATCGCTGGACTGATTTTGATAGTCTCTTGAAAACCACAAACTCACTTCCAAATACATGTCCAATTGCATGGCAGCCATAGTAGACATCACAGTTTGCTCTTTTACAGCAGCCTCGTCTGTGCATCAAATTTTCTGGATGATAGTGCCATCAAACTTATATTTATTGAGAGCTTTCACCAGTCGTATAGAAGTGGAGTTTCCATAGAGGTTTAGGAAATTTCAGTTACATATTCGTAAGTTATAGTCATCTTGACGTTTGCAGGGGCCGCCAATATTCGATTTCCAATTCCGAAGCATCCTTACCTCTTTCACTAGCGGCTGATTTTACGTGATCACACAACAGGACAGAGGGTACTAAGTTTCCAATTGTTGCGCAAGATTGGTCTTACAATATTTTGCAGATGTGCTGATACATGTTTCCTATCAGTACAATGTCGTCAGCGTTGAACAAATATGGAGTTATATCTGCCTGCCATGTTATTGTTCTTCAGTCAATGTACAGCATATCACATTTCATTATATCTTGGTTATTTTTTATACAGTTTACTCTTTTAGAAAGCTGGTCCATCGTATTTGCTTGATAGCGATGAAGTTAGCCTATTACTTATTGGGAGATTCAACTCTTTGGATAGAGACACTTTGCCTATTGAGGATTCGGATATTGGAGATGCATATCTGTAAATCAGTTTATGTTATTTTTACTCTTTGCTAATTAAAAAATATATTTCATTTATTTTACCTTTCAGTGATTATAATATGTAAAATATCCGGGCAAATACCCAGAATACATGGAAAATGGCGATATATCTGAATTGGAAAAACTGAAAAAATTGGAAAGACTAGAAAAACTGATGTGTACTGTGAAATTGTACTTTTCATCGAAAAAAAAGTTTGGTAGAAATCTATCTGACCATATACACTACAGGTGTTGTTTATTGCTAGTCATTCAAACTTTGATACAGTACAGCAGTTTCAGTAGAGATCTCTAAAATTGGCAACGAGTGGAATTTGGTTTGTGTAAAATGTATTTGACTGTATTTGAAGATTTGAAGGCGTGTAGGTTCAAATGGAAACAGTCATCTTGACAAATAAAAAAAATAAAAACTATTCCATTCTGATATTTCTATTTTCATACTTTAATAGCAACATTATCTAGAAATTTTGATAATGAAACAAAAGAAACACTGGAGAAAGTGATTAACTATGCAAAAAGATATGATAGAAGAATTAGTTTTAGTTTTAGAGGAAAGAGTGTACTAATATAAGGATCTTAAAAATAACATCAAAAAGAATGCAACTTTCTTTATATGCTATGTATGTTGCTAAATCTTGTTATAATTAATTTAATGAACTACAACAAATTTGTTAAAAAAATAATTGATACACTTAGAATAATACAACCTAGAGTTCACAAATTTACTATATTTTCTTTCTTAAGGTGCTTATAATTAATAGACCTGCAAAACATATCTGATATCAAGGTATTGAATTCCAAGGTATTGAAGGGTATGAATGGTAATTTTTAGTGGAATAGTTATTATCGTAGGTATCAAATATAATTTTAAGGCTTTATAATAGAAATTTATGCTTGAACCACTAACTTAAAATTAATTTCTGATGTTATGCGTATTTATTTGAATAGATGGGGAAGGCTTTTAAAATACTGTAATGAATATTGTCAGCCAAAAATTCAATTAATAGTAGTAGTTCTCTATAAAATAATAAAATAATAGAATAAAATATGAATAATAAAATAATATGAATAATAAAATAGCTGAAGTCATTCGTGGTGTATAATAAAACAAATCCTCGGAACTCATCAAAAGGGATTGCGTGAACACTGCAAGGCTTACTGCAGTTTTTACTGGTCATTGGTGTGTATGAACTCATGCAGAGAAACTGCGTATTCCCCATGACCCTCATTGCAGAAGTTGTGAAAACTCGCAGGAGAAAGAAACAATAATACATTTTCTATGTGAATGCCCGGCTTTAGCGTCTAGAAGATAAAGGTTCTTAAGAAAATACTTCTGTGATAATTTATCAGACTGCTCAACGGTGAAGATAAAAGACCTATTAAATTACCTAAATTCAGCGGGATGGATTTAGTCTCTACTCTTCTAAACTAGGGTTCTTGCGAGAAATGTGGTAACAAAACGGCGAAAATCGCTAATTGAGGTACATTCGGAGTTACCAAATGGCCTGTTACTGCAACCAACCAACCAACCAACCATTCGTGGTGCTAGATCAACTCAGGACGTTGGCGACATTATCTATTTAAGGCCTATTTCATTTCTCAGATTAAAAAAATAAAACCTCAATAAACTAAATTATACATTTATATGTCTGAGATGTGGATGAATATAATCTTTTTATTTCCAATCAAATTATAATAAATATTGGAATAATTCCAGTTATTAAACACTCAAAGGTCTCTAGTTTCTAACTTTAAGGCAGCGTTGACGTCGACGACGCCTAAAGTTGGCAGTGAGTGCAGTAAGTGAATGAATTTAAATTTTACGCTATTACATGTGTGGGAATCAGCAAGAATTTCTTTTTTTTAAATTAAATGATTTTATTTTCCATTTCCAGAAATTCATGGAAATCCTGTTGACTTAGTTGGTTAAAGAAAAAACAATTTTTGTTGCATAAACAATTTGCAACTGAATTGTAAGAAAATTGGTTTTTATTTCATATTTTAACTTCAATTTATAGGATAATTTTGGTTTTCAGATTTCATGCACTTTATTGTCGGTGGAAACTTACGAAATTCATCCGTTTAATAATAAATGCTCACAGTCGAAACCACTACGTTAAAGTAATTTGATTAAATTCTGCATTTGTTCGTTTACGGCATCTGTAAATGCATTTAAAAGGCTCATTTTGCAAGACGGTAGCCAAACTTTTTGGGGCAGCAGAAGAGATGCGAAGAGTATGCAAATGTATTAAGATACAAAGCTGCAAATGGAAGATACTTGAATTCTGTTCAACTATGAACAATAAACACGTGCGGGCTGTTTAAAGTTGGTTGGAGTAATTGTATGCATTAGATGTACGTAGTGGTTGCTATTTTTATTGTTGTGCAATGGATTTAAAATTACTTGGGCAACGTGGCATCAGAAATAAGCCAAAGGCTAACATATCAGAGCGACACTTAAGGCGCATGAAAATATTTACTAAAATAGTTTTACGACCATAAAAAATGTAGTCACTTTCCTTACAAGTCGTAAATGTGTGCGTGTAAGGTTTCAGAAGCATAATCTAGTTTACTGTATCGAAAGAAGGTTTCAATGAAATTCGTAAAAACCAGCAGTAATTTTAGCCAAATTAACAACTGTCACTCATACTTGCTTTATGTTGTTTGAGCTCAGAAAGTCAGCACGACCTTCGACCTATTATACCGCCAAATTGACCAGTTTGCCACACTCTGAGGCCAAGCACATTCTTGCTTAGGGGTCAGTCGTTCATGTTCTGTACTTTTATTTGTGCCAACCGCCATCGTCGCACTCCAATTTATGCAGAGGTTTTGTGTTATTAGTTGTACTTACAGATACTTCACGGCGTTCTTACAAAAACTGTGCTAGTTTGATATACTTAAGTTGCTGACATTATATTTTGGACCGAATTTTATGGTCTGTACCATTTACGAAGAATTGCAATAAAATTTGGTAATCTCTCATTTCGACGGTTATTTTGGTTCTAAAAATTGTGAAACACATTTGTTTTTAACTGTGTACATACGATTAATTGGGTTGCTTAACACCGGCGCTTCTCACATGGATCGGCCGAACACATTTTAACTGATGTTTTAGTTTGAAACGCGTCGCTTCTCGACTGGTGGCAAAAAAGCTGAATTTCATTCAAAAAAGCGTCGTTGTGATGTGGACAAAAAGATGATTTCCAACGCAGATAGTGACCCCACATTTATCGAACGCATCATAACTTGTGATGAGACATGGGTCTATGAATTTGACATGCTCACCAACCAATAATCGACCGAGTGGTGCCACGATAACTTATCGGCTCACACAGCGTTGGTTGTGTCGCAGTTTTTGGCCAAAAACTCCACCAATATTATCAACCAA